GGCATGTAAACTTGGGTGGGATTGAAGGAGACATTCTCCTCACTACTGTAAATTTGGTCACAAATACAGAGGTGCCTCCGGTAGCATGGAAGAAAACTCACCACTATCAAGATTTGCTTGCCCTGAAGCACCCACTGTTCCAGCTGCTCTCTGCTACCATCCTAGTCAGCTCTCCTGTTCTCCTCCTAGCAGTGTGTCCCTAGGAAGACTTGGCAGCATGGCGCTTCACTCATCTTCCCTCAGTGGTCCTGCACCTGGTTTGAGCTTAGGTTGTCTCCTCCATCTCTCCAGCTTTTGCTGCCATTTTCTTTCTCTGTCAGTTTCTGGCTAGAATTTATTTAACACTCAATCAAACCTAGGTGACTCAAAAAGAGTTTTCACCATCTCACAAAGGGAGTGGATGGAAAAGTGGTTCATGGTTTTGAATCTGGGACTTCTCTTGTGCCCATGTTCCTTAACTTATTCCTTAGTTGAATTGTTATTAGTTGTCCAGAGTATTGCCCTGACAGTATCCAGTTCTCATTTTACTTGGTCTTATCCTCACACCATGTACACCATATATAAAGACCTGTAATCTATATTGCACTCCATGCATCAGAAGAACTAATCTACTCTGTTTGGAACTAACAATTGGATTTAGACTATGTTTCTGAAAAACCCAGCTCTGAACACTGCTGATCTGCTGACATGCTTAATGACACCAAGCATCTCCTTCCTATTGAAATATTTGTAATAATTGTCCATTGTTTAAACATGCTCACAGATGGACATATGCATATGCAGCGATTTTGCTTTTTTAAAAAAAGTATATTACTCAAAAATGCAACATGGTGGAGGGGAAACCATCGGTCAAACCATTGCTCCTAGGATTGTCATTAAAGATGAGTAGATCTGTCAAATCTGCTACTGTTGGCTTCCTTCTTTTCTCATCGCCAAGTCCATTCCACTCCAGTTTCAACTGATTCTTCATGAGGGGAAAAATCTGTGCACATTTTTTGTGTATACTTTTTAAAAGTAGAACACCTAATAAAATTTTTAATGAGTCCATAGTCCAACTGACTAAACATTTGGAGTTATTTTATTTACTGTTTTATTTTTATTTTCTGCTGAGATTGTATTGATAACTTCTCAATGTGTGCTTATTATCAAGAGCATTTTTTTCTTTTCTTCACCAAACTTAAAACCAGTCAGAAATGTATGGATTTTTCTAGTTTTATGTTTGGGAGGTAAAGAACTGTAGAAATCTTTAAGAAGTCCTTGACTGAGTGTTACTCTTCAATCACCTCTTTTTTTACATTCATATTGCAAAGACAGGAAGGAGTTGGTTTTCCACATCAGATGCATAGAATCACAAAACTAGTCCTGCTTTTGTATTATTATTTCTTTGCCTGTAGTAATTCAGTTGCCCCCTTACCCCAGAATAATGACATAAGACAAGTAATATGGGATAAACATGGGCCAAACTTTATTAATCCTGTTTATTTCACTTGAAAAGATTCTAAAGCTTATCTATGATTGTGTGGTGGCGATGGCTGTTGTTTTTAATCTCCATTTTTAAAATAACTCTCACCATGATCAGATGCCAATGAATAATTTAATCCACACAGTCCAAATGGAGAACATTATGATTTTCCTCAGGAATGCTAATTAGTTTGGCTACTGGAAATAAACAAATAGAAGGCATAAAGAGACAAAATCTAATTTTAGCAACAAAGTGATTATCAGTGTCTCCAGGTAGTTATCACACTGCAAATAACACACTAATTTGAATGAGGCAGGTTAAATCAAGCCTATTATATAGGAAAAGCTCCATCCTTCCAGTTATTAAAGGCATTTAAGAAGTAGCTAACCACAGCTCTAGTTGGGAACCGAGGAGTCAAAGGTAATGGAGGATGAATAATTCAGATTATCCTTTTGGTTTTAATATTGGTGCTGTTGTTCATTTATTTATTTTTCCAGTTACAGTGGCTTTTAAGATGATGAGTTTACCAGCATTTATTCCTCTTGAAATGGCTGAGACAATTTGTGTGTGTGTGTGTTGATTAACACCCTTACTGTGCGGCAAGAATCAAGTCAAACGCCCTGATTTATTTTCAAAAGGCTTAGGAATATGTTTTGTTACCAAAAAAAAAAATGGCCTCTTCCTTAGAAGTAACTATCTTTTTCATGGGAAATTTCCCATCACAAATGAATACAGGTTTGCATCTATAGATAACAGTGATGTAGCCACATAATAGACTCATACATATAGGAATGGATTTCTATGAGTTAGAATGTCAGTGTGACATGATTGATTATTATTTTTGCTTCCTTGTATTGTAAAGTTTACGTATTTATGAGGAACTACATTAAAGAATTTACTTTGCAGGTTGTAAGCTGCAACTAGCATGTGACAGGTAATGATAAATATGTAGATTATATGTTTCTTGACCTGTTGGAAGAAGAGACCCCAACTTGCAGCATAACAGTGTTTTTCTGCATTCAGTCTCCATATTTCTAGAAGGAGTGGAGACATAACTCTGGACATTTCCAAGGACATGACACTTAAGGTTGCTTTCCTTTAGTACAGAAATGTAAGTCTCAGTGAACTTATTTGGATTTATTGTTTACTAGACAATTACAGAATTGCACTCTAAAGAAAAAAACTAATTCAGATGTCTCTTTGGCATCCGCATTTCGATTTTAGGTTTGGTTAGGCTTCCTAAAATCTGAAGTGTTCTCTCTTTCTTTTTCTTTACGGTGTTTTCAATCTTTGTATGAATTCATTTCTGCTTTAATGTGAGATTTGTACTGAAAAATAAGGCTTGGGGAAAATTTGGAGCCTCATTACTTTTTAACAAAGCCAGACCGTGAATATGAACTGTCTAGATCTTTGTGTGCTATTCAATTTTGTACATGTCTACTTTAAAAAAAAGTGTGATTTAATTGGATGAAACTTCTGTTTATGTGTTGGAATCGACTTAGGGCTCTATCTCACTGCCCCCCAAAATCCCTCACTGTTCTACCAAGTTCTCCTTTTAAAAAAAACACAGTTTAAATGTTAGTGTACACATGAGGTGTGTCCATACGCAGACCAGTGTGTAAGGGGAGCAACTTTTTCTGTTTCCCTGCCAGAGGTCCCCTGCCAGAGGGGTTAGGTTACAGTGTAAGGCAAGATACAAGTCAAAAATCATGAAATTAATTGAATGTTATGATGAGCGATTTAAACTCAAGAAAAGCCCTGTTCCCTCACTTTGTTATTTTAGTGAATAGTGGGGAATACCTCCCTAAACAACTACAGCATGCAAGATCAGTAGCTCACCCGTTACAGACCTAATTTTCACCCTCCTCTGCTTTGCAAACATTCCAGTGCTGATGTGCTGTTACTGGTGTATCTAGCAATAGGCACCTCAGTCAGTCCTGTGAGTCTAGCAACCATGTTAATTACAAATATTTTTTTCTGATATGAAAGGTACTGTTTATAGAATTGGGTGGCCAAGGGGTACACAGGTGAAAAAAAAGCTTAAGAACCACTGGTTTACAACATCCCAAATTTGATTTCGATACAGAAGAATCTACAGTGTCTTACTATAGTATCTTGACTGATGATCATTTGATTCTTTTTTCCCCAGAAGCGGGCAAAAACAATTCAAGGAGTTCTATGGTATGTACAATTTTTAATGTGATTCACTTTGCACAGGAAGAGTCAAATTCTGGAAAGGCATCTCATCAGACATCCTTCCTCAACTTGGTGGCCTCCAAGTTTGTTGGGTTCTGGATTCCAGTAGTCCTAGTCCACATCCCCTTTGTTGCGCAGGCTTGGGATGCGATCTGACATATTAGCATAGCATTTTATTGAGAAAAGCTGTCTGTCCTATTTGGGGAAGGCAGGCCAGAATCCGTGCAGAGAAAGAGGAATGGCATTCCATGCTGTAATTTTAAAGCCTGGGAAACCTCCTTCTTTGGACACATTCAAATAGTCTGGGAGTCTAAAGAAGGAATATTTCTAGGTTCTTCTGGAATCATCTCCAGGTTCACCACTACCTTGGAGATGGATGGCTGTTAGTGGCAGAACAGAATATATAAGTAACATATTTGGCCACTGACTTGAATTAAGTACACAGTACTATGTAACTGGAGTTGTCATGCAAATAAAGCCACCATTATAAGCATATAGCTGGAAATCAGTATCAAGCACATGGAATGATAGACTTGTGTTAACATGGCTGTCCTTTCCATCTTCTAAAAGTAGAATGGTGGACGGAGTTGTCATGCAAATAAAGCCACCATTACAAGCATATAGCTGTTCACATGGCTGTCCTTTCCATCCTCTAAAAGTAGAATGGTGGAATGTGGTTCATCTGACTCAGTCTTAACTCAGGACCACAACAGTAGTCCTTGAAGAATCTTAATCCCAATCCCAGTTCTAACGCTTTCTCTTTTTGATTTTCAGGAGAAAACCTACTGGCAGTTACGCAATGGAAATGAAACGTTGGTTACCGAATTCATTATACTGGGCTTCTCAAAATATCCAGAACTAAAGTTTTTCTTCTTTACTCTTTTTTTATGTTTATACTTTTTTACAATACTTGGCAATACTGTCATTGTCACAGTTATCAGTGCCAATGCTAGCCTTCACACACCCATGTATTTCTTCATAAGGAATCTATCTTTATTGGAAATATGCTTTACTTCAGTCACAATCCCCCAAATACTAGTGACTCTTTGCTGGGAAGAAATCAGAATTTCATTCGTTGGGTGTGCAACACAGCTATATTTCTTTCTGCTCTTTGGTGCCACTGAGTGCTTCTTACTCTCTGTCATGTCATATGACCGCTTTGCGGCCATATGTCTCCCACTGAGATATACTACCATCATGAACAAGAGAATCTGCATCCAGCTGTCAGCAGCATGTTGCGCTGGAGCAGTTTTGATTGCTACAGGACACACTATTTTCATCTTCACCTTGCCTTTTTGTAGGTCCAACGTAATTAACCATTTCTATTGTGAGATCCAGCCATTGCTTACACTTGTTTGTGGCAACACCTACTGGAATGAAGTCCAGGTCATCACGGCTGCTGGTGTGGTGCTCATATTGCCCTTAATTCTCATCCTGGTGACTTACATCCAGATCATCACCACCATACTGAAGATGAAATCAGCTGAAAGCAGACACAAGACCTTCTCCACCTGTTCATCACACCTCACTGTAGTGACATTCTTCTATGGCACAGCCCTTTTCATGTACGCCAGACCTAAGTCAAGTTTCTCTTTGGATACTGACAAGTGGGTCTCGCTATCTTACTCTGTTATTACTCCATTACTGAACCCTATTATATATAGTCTCAGGAACAAAGAAGTGAAAGGAGCTCTGTGGAAATTAGGAACTAAAGTCTTGCTTATCATAAAGAAATGAAGAGCTGTATTCAAAAAAATCTGTGAATGGTATAGTTGCCTACATTTTTTCCTGTGTATCTTGATTCTCTTCTGGACTCTATCCTTTATTTCTCCTTTGCTTATTTCTAACTTGACTTTATTTATTTATTTTTTATTTATTTATTTTTGGACTTATATACCGCCCCATAGTGCTACAAGCACTCTCCGGGCGGTTTACAATTTCATTATACAGGCTACACATTGCCCCCCCAGCAAGCTGGGTACATGTGTACAGTTGCATGTGTACAGTTAAAAGAAAGCTATTAATTTAAAATTAATATCTTGAATATTGCAAATAACTTGAAGACTGTTTCAAAAGAACCATTGCAATACTTTGCATGCCCATGTTTTTTTTTTTTAATGGAAATAGATTGCCATTTGTCTTGTAAACACAAATTGGCAAAATTTATAAAGATTTTGCAATATTACATCCAGGGTATTCTGAATTTTATGTATCTTTTCTTATCTCAGTTCAAGATGATTTGCTGGCAGTAAAGTGTGCAGATGGTTCAAGCAGCTGTTTAAAAGAAGCAATCTATTATAGAGCTTTGAGTCTTAATTTGGTAAATTTGGAAATTTTATCTGCTAAATTCTTGTATGTTCAAAATAGTTTGTACCCTAATTGTAATGACTGGTTACCGAATACACACTCTGTCTCACCATCTAGGCTTCATTAGATTAGGCCATAGGAGCAAGACATTTGGAAGTGTACAGACATCAGACAGAGAGTGTAATAACATGGATTAAAAGAAAAGGGAATTTCCGAAGAAAGGGTGTTTTTTTTTAAAGTCTCATGATGACATGGACAAATTCTTCTTGGCCCACATGTGGTCAATCATCATGTATCAGGGCAGCATCCACCAAGGCAGAGTGGGTGGTCTATACTGCTGTGGGCAAACAGTATGACCAAAGCCACTTCAGCAAACCTATGGAAGGTTCATGGAAATCTCATAATACATGCAAATGTCCTGAAATCTTGCCGCAAGACTGTCCCTGCAAATTCCAGGCCATTGAGGATGGGCCTGGTGAGTACAAAGGCACTAGGCAGTTTTTCTTTGCTTTATGTTCTGGATCCATTAGTTATGATATTCAATGAAGTTGTATGAGTAATAACAATGACGCCTTGGATTTTCAAGTATCACTCAAACCTGATTGCTAGAGGTGGATCAGGACTCAGATTAAAATAGTTTTTCATGTTCAGAGTTCAAGCTGCTGGTGGTGAATGTGCTATTCAAACTGATTTCTCAGATCTGATGGGGAATGCCTTTAAAATACACCAGTGGTTTCAACCCACCCACTCTTCCACATATACAACAATGGCCAGTTTCCTTTTTGTTGTTGATACCAGCATAAATGTTATGGTATAAACTGTAGCACCAAACAGCCACTAATTAATGAGTCACTGCTTGTATTCTTCAACATGTGGCAGTCACATAATTTAGTGTATGAAAAGGAATACAAATGTTGACTTGTTGGCTGCTGGCAATTCACTGCTGCAGTTCATGCCAGTGCACTTCAGGGTTTCTAATTTATCAGATAATAATTATTAAGGATGCCAATTCAACTGTTTCAGTTTTAGATGAGGCATGGGTGGATGTGACAAAACCATTTCCATGAACTTTCTTGTCTTTGCAAATGGAATCTGTAGCAGTTACACGTGACTTTAGTAGACGGCAAATGTGGTCTGTGTGTGAGTGTGTGAGTGTGTGAGTGTGTGTGTGTGTGTGTGTGTGAGAGAGAGAGAGAGAGAGAGAGAGAGAGATGATGTTGCAAATTGAGTTAAGCATGTGCACTTTTAAAAACTATATGCAGTGTTTTTTGTGTTTATTTCAAATGTGTGCCTACAGCCCCCCCCCATGCACCTCAAACCCATAAATGTATGGATTTCCAACCACAGATTGTGCCTGATGTCCTATTCAGGAGATGAAATATCAAGAATATCCAATATAAAAGCTTGATGGGGTAAATTATCTATATATCCTATTTTAGATAGAAATGGAGAAGTTGCTTTTGTGGGATTACGTCACAAAGAGCTCCAAAGCCAGCATGACTAGTGGATTCCTGAATCCACTGGACAGGCTGGTTGTGCAGCTCTTTCAAAGATTGTCCAAAATAAGGAATTGTTCCCATCTCCAGTTTCTTACCACTGGGGGTTCACACTGTCTATCAGGAGTGGATGAAACATGGGGTTAAAATTAGCTTTACTAATAGCTGATCAGTAAATATGGATGCTGCCACTCTGCCCTCTTGAAAAATGAGAAATTCCAAATTCCATTGCACAGTGACAGTGAGAACTTTAGCTGTCATCAGATTATAATTAGTTTTATAAATAATTGTCTAGCAGTGCTAGCTTACATCTCAAAAGATACAGCTCTGAATCCCTCAAGACTTCATTTAGCTATTGTAATTAAACAAAACTTTTCATTTAGTTTAAGCTCCAGTTGAGAAAGACACACCGATGAAATCTCCTGTTATTTCATGAGCTGGACTAAACATTGTGCATGTGTACATGATCAGCTTTGAGGGAAGAGATGCCACAAGAGCCTTGCATAGTTTTAACTAGTCCCATGGTGAATAACCATATTTTGAAAATTACTTTGGTGAACAAATGCATTTATTTATTTAAACGCAAAATCGTCATGCTTGATGACATGGTTGCAATTCTAAATAAACCGAGGAGTGATTAACAATGGAAAATTCAGATGTATGGATTTCCAACCACAGATTGTGCCTGATGTCCTATTCAGGAGATGAAATATCAAGAATATCCAATATAAAAGCTTGATGGGGTAAATTATCTATATATCCTATTTTAGATAGAAATGGAGAAGTTGCTTTTGTGGGATTACGTCACAAAGAGCTCCAAAGCCAGCATGACTAGTGGATTCCTGAATCCACTGGACAGGCTGGTTGTGCAGCTCTTTCAAAGATTGTCCAAAATAAGGAATTGTTCCCATCTCCAGTTTCTTACCACTGGGGGTTCACACTGTCTATCAGGAGTGGATGAAACATGGGGTTAAAATTAGCTTTACTAATAGCTGATCAGTAAATATGGATGCTGCCACTCTGCCCTCTTGAAAAATGAGAAATTCCAAATTCCATTGCACAGTGACAGTGAGAACTTTAGCTGCCATCAGAGAATATAATTAGTTTTATAAATAATTGTCTAGCAGTGCTAGCTTACATCTCAAAAGATACAGCTCTGAATCCCTCAAGACTTCATTTAGCTATTGTAATTAAACAAAACTTTTCATTTAGTTTAAGCTCCAGTTGAGAAAGACACACCGATGAAATCTCCTGTTATTTCATGAGCTGGACTAAACATTGTGCATGTGTACATGATCAGCTTTGAGGGAAGAGATGCCACAAGAGCCTTGCATAGTTTTAACTAGTCCCATGGTGAATAACCATATTTTGAAAATTACTTTGGTGAACAAATGCATTTATTTATTTAAACGCAAAATCGTCATGCTTGATGACATGGTTGCAATTCTAAATAAACCGAGGAGTGATTAACAATGGAAAATTCAGTAATACCATTGGAACAAAATTTCCAATAATGTACTACAATAATAACCCTCTAACACTAATGGCTTGGACTCTGGATACCTGAAGGACTGCCTCCTTCCATATGAACATACCCAGCAGTTAAGATCTAGCCAGGGGGCCCTTTTGAAAGAGCCGTTCCTTAAAGAAGTAAGAGGGACGGCTTGTAGACAATTGCCTTTCAGCAGCTGCCCCCAGACTATGGAATGCTCTCCCGACTTAGATTCGTCTGGCGCCGACGCTGGTGACATTTCGGCGCCTGGTCAAAACCTTCCTGTTCCAGAAGGCTTTTAATTGAAATAATATCAGCTGTGGGTCTGATGGCAATTTTAGAGCATATATTTTAATTGCATTTTAATTAAACAAAACTTTTCATTTAGTTTAAGCTCCAGTTGAGAAAGACACACCGATGAAATCTCCTGTTATTTCATGAGCTGGACTAAACATTGTACATGTGTAAATGGTCAGCTTTGAAGGAAGAAATGTCACAAAAGCCTTGCATATTTTAACTAGTCCCATGGTGAATAACCACATTTTGAAAATTGCTTTGGTGAACAAATGCACTTATTTATTTATTTTTTAGACTGAAGCCCTTTGAGCCCCATTAAACCCAAAATCGTTATGCTTGATGAGGTGTTTGCAATTCTAAATACAGTAAACCGAGAAGTGATTAACAATGAAAAATTCAATAATACCATTGGAACAAAATTTCCAATAATGTATTTTATCTCTAGTTTCAAGATAGAATGTTCTGTGGTGCTGAACATCTTAATTATGTATCAAAATCAGGTTGAAGCCAAACCTCCATTTGAATGGGCAGGCTTCCTGTAATATCAATGCACAATATAACATGTGATCTGAAGTCGAGATGAGCATGAACCATGGTTCAATAATTCATGACAGTTTGGGCATCCAGCTCTTAAAAGTTGCCAGGCCAATAACAATGGAATGGGCCACTTCTGTCAATCCATCTCCCCTTGAGAGTTGGGTTCCCTGAATCTTCAAGGAGACAATTATCAGACCCACACAGAAAAAAAAACAACTTGGCGGCGATGATTGTAACAATACATACATACATACATACATACATACAGACAGACAGACAGACAGACAGACATAGAACAAATATTCTAGATATGCCTGTAGATCAAATCTTTTCCTGTGCTGTTCCCATTGTTTAAGAAAAGACATTTCAATTGCAGATTCAAAAACTCAGGAAGACACCTTTATTAACCATAACTATGAAGAGAATGAGGCAGATTGCTAACTTTCTCACAGCAAATGAATTCCTGTCTTTCTTCATACACTCACAATTATTTTTGGGATATTGATGTTATTTTAAATGATTATTTTGTTTGATGTATGCCGCCCAGAGTAGTCAAATGACTAGATGGGTGGTAAATAAATAAATAAATAAATAAATAAATAAATAAA